AAAAAAAAAAAAAAAAAAAAAAAGAGGTCCATTTGACCCCCCACCATTTTCAAATTCGAGCAGATTCAGGACAGTCCCACCATAAAAGTACCGTAGACTCAATGCCCACTGACACCGTTGACAAGTCATATCAATGTTCATACCATGTTCTGCTGACCACACCGCTGATGGTGTGGACACCAAGGTAAGCAGCCACAAAATTGAAGCTTGGCGTTGATTGGGAATGAGCCTCAGTTGTTGCCAATATCTGTCAATTGCTGTTGATATATCAAGAGGATCAATTGACAGCAAGGATTGCCATCTGAGTCGTGCAACCATCTGTGGAGATTTAATGGGAGGTTTTAGAGTATATCCCACCTTCTGTGTATAGTCCAGTAGGCAGACACTTTGATTGTTCTTCCCAGCAGCTCTCCATTCCCACTTTACAGGGTCAAGTTTCATTTCACAGATGAGTCGTCCTCCCGCGAACACTATACCAGAAGGGGTGCCTTCGATATTGAGATCTTCAATCACCCTGACTTGGTCTAAAGACTCAAACAGCGAGGGTTGTGAGTCTGAATCTTGCTGGGTCAACGAGCAATTATCGGAAACCATCCAACTCTGAAAAATCCGTTTCCCATCTGCCTCCACCTGAATTAATTTCCAAAGAACGGTGGGGGGTTCTGTTCCACTTGTGCTGTACCATGTACCGGGTGGGTCAGTTTTGACGGAGTCAAGCACATCTTTCCATTTCTGAGGGATTGCTGAGATAATTGAGTTCCTTTTCTCTGACAAATTTCTGACTTGTCCCAGGATGGTCCTGAGGTCACACTCTGATTTCCAGGAGCCAAGAACAGTATCCCATATGTCACTCACCCGGATCACTCCTTTCTCTATCCACTTTCTGCCATAACTCCCTGTTGCAGTGTCTGCTAATCAATGGGTTTTCGAACAGTGGTTGGTTGAGGACCTCAGCCTTTGTTTCTGGTTCAACCCACACATCAGGTCTCAGCGACTTCCATGCGTGCACGATTGTCTTCCAAAAGGGGGACTTAATGTGTCCGTGCTGATAGGAGTGGAGTAACAGACAAGTCCAGACATCTGTCGGTCTTGCGAGGTTCCACTCACTTGCTAATATATGTTCCGCCAGAAGCACCCAATGTGGTTCAGAGTGGTCTAGTGCGGCTTTTAAAATCCATTTAACCAACATTGCCTCGTTCTGTCGTTTAGGGTCCAGGATACCTAATCCCCCTTGTTCCCGTGGCAAACATAGAGCCTCCCACGCAACTTTCGACAAAAAAGAATCTTCTTCACCTGCAAAGGGTTTCCATATGAACTTCGCAACCCTTCTCCTAATCAAATTATATAACTATTTACTGAAACCCCTTACAGTACCAACAAACCACAGCAGAGAAAAGCATGCACTGTTGACGACCATTTCTCTGCCGAAAAGGGAAAGGTGGGAGGCTGTACCCCACGAACCAATTCGATGCAAGGATTTCTGAAGGATCAGGTCATCCTGATCAGCTTCACACGTCAACAAGGAGATCTGTACCCCCAGAAAACGCTCTGATTGGGTTTCCCTGATACGTTTCATCCCCCATTCCACCGGCAAACTGTATGCAGAGGGGAGGAAGAAAACAGATTTATGCCAGTTCACGGAGGCTTCTGAGAGGGAAGCGAATTAGTCTAAGCAAGATTTAAGAGCTTCTAGAGATTCAGTGGAATTGCCTATCACAGCGAACAAGTCATCAGCTAAAGCTTTTGACTTATACTGAGTAAAGCCAACAAGGAAGCCTTGAATGTCTGTGTGATTGCGAATATTGTTTAACAGGCCTTCCATTTGGATGGCAAACAGCAGAGGGGCCAGTGGGCAGCCTGTCTTAATGAGCGAGAGAGAGAAAATTCATTTGATAATCTTCCATTGATCATTACTGCTGCTGTCGACATTGTGTATAAAGCTATCACCCAAGTGCAGAACATCTCCCCAAAGCCCATCACTTTCAAGGTTGTAATCACATGAGACCAATTCACCCTATCATAAGCCTTCTCAAGATCAAGCAGTAGAACCGCATAGTTCAAATTCTCGTTGTGGATTATTTTCGGTGTTTCTACTGCAGTGACAATGTTAGTAAAGATAGATCTTCCGCTCACGAACGCAGCTTGATCTGGGTGAACTAAATCAGTTAGGTATCGAGCCAGTCGTCTAGCCAAAATTTTAGCCAATATTTTGTATGAGACATTTAGGACTGAGATGGGTCTCCAGTTGCGTATCTCTGCCCTATCTCCTTTTTTGAATAGTACTGAAATGATACCCCTGCACATGCTTGTAGATAGTTTTCCTCCATTTAGTATCTCGTTATACAGTTCCACCAATTTGTCACCTACAAATTTCCAGATTGTCAGGTATAGTTCCACCGGCAGCCCATCGTCTCCGGGGGCTTTCCCCTTAGACATAGCCTTAAGAGCTGCTAGGGCTTCTTTAGTAGTAATCGGGCGGTCTAAGTCAAGTCTACCAGACGTGGGTAATCGGACTGTGGTTTGTTGCCAGTGATCGGTTGTCAAGTGAAGGTTACTGTCAATGTTTGCCCCTTGCAGCCTTGAAGTCAATATATCCTTATAGTATGTGGTTGCATAGTTTCATAGACCCCTTGGATCTTTTGCACTTGGGGCCGTTGTATCAAACGGGTGACATAGTTCTCTCATCGGTACAGATGAGCGACGGGGGATAAGTTTTTGAAACGATTCTTTTGTCATCCGATCGTAAACAATAATGCCTTTCACTTTCAGTCTTTCCGCCCACAGTTCCGATTTCTTTTTTTGCAGATTATCCCATTTTGTGGATAATTTTGCCCTTTCTTTTCCCCATACCAGATTAGACACTGGGTGTTGTGACATTCCGAGTGCTGCGTACATTATCTTCCTCTTCAGGGATTCTTCTTCCATACTGCGCTGGACTGCCTTTATTCTTGAAAACACCGAAAGCAGATTATAAAAGATTCGTGAGCCTTTCTCCCACCAAACATCTATAGATTCATAGGAGGAGCATGCTAATTTCCAGCTTTCCCAGAATTCACCCATCCATTTTACTAATCCAACATCTTCTAAATTTTGCGTGTTAAATCGAAATAAGCCACGACCTCTATCATAATCAGTAGAAATTACTGTCATTATGACAAACTTGTGGTCAGACATCGGATGGGGTGTAACTTTTATTTGTGTAATCGATTCCCATAAATTCTGAGAAGTCAAGAAATAGTCCAAACACCTGCTAATAATGCTTTCATCCTGTCTTGGATTCGAGAACCATGTGAAGTCGTCCTCATCAGGGTGAGTTAGTCGGTACGGGTCGATCAACTCAAGTGATTCAATTAGCTGAACTAGGGACATTTTGTCCCGCGGGCATTCTACCGTCTGGGATGACGTAGAAACATCCAAGGAGGAATTCCAGTCACCAGCGAGAATCGTCCTTCCACATTCAGGTAGAATGTATAATAATTCGTTAAAGAACGTATTCTGTAAACGAGGGTCGGTGTGGGCGTACATAGATGCAATGAGCCACTCCTCCTCATTAATTACTAATTT